GACACGAGCGGGGGGTAAATGGGGGAGCCGGTGAGAGAAAAGGCGGCAGGGGATACTTTTCAGCGTGTTTTGAGAAGAAAAATCGCTGTAATGAAGGCTGTTATTGCTGGTAAATTCCCAAAAGCAAAAGGACAATAAACTGTTGAATAACTATGACACAGGGAGGACAAAATTCAGTGACGAGCAGGTAGGAATAAATGGTGACATCTCGTACAACCCATCAATACAAAGAATGTTGGTCCTATCGTCACCGTATCATGTTTTACATTCATGATTGACGTTACCGTTGACGTATTGCGTCCAATATTGATTGATTTGACCTTATACGGTACAGTGCATATCATAGCTGAGTTTTAAGAAAGAAGAATTGCTGTAATGAAGGCTGCTATTGCTGGTAAATGCAAACGCAAAAGGACAAGAAACTGTTGAATAAATATGACACAGGGAGGACAAAATTGAGTGACGAGCAGGTAGGAATAAATAGTGACATGTCGTACAACCCATCAATACAAAGAACGTTGGTCCTATTGTCACCATATCATGTTTTGCATTCATGATTGACGTTACCGTTGACGTATCGCGTCCAATATTGATTAATTTGACCTTATACGGTACAGTGCATATCATAGCTGATGCACGCAAATGCATAGGAGCTCTAAGTGACACAGGGAGGATGTCAGCATCACGTGACATCACCTTTTCAGGTGCTGCCATGGCATTGTAGTCACTTTTTTTTTTCTGATTGAAATTTTTGATGAAGAACTCCAAAATTGAAAAGTTATTATGTGTTGGGAACATGAGCACTTTCAAATAAATACATAAATCAACTCTTTTGGCGGGCCTTCCAATGAATGCAAGGGAACCTGAATCAGGAAAAAAAAACACATAGACAGACATGAAAATAACCTGCAACAGGCCGGCAAACTTGACGACACCCCATCCGAGGCGTTTGGTTTCTGGTTCAACCAAACTCATCTGATAAACATCAACGGCGAGGAACCTTTGAGCCTGGCCGCCATCTTTACTGACCACCATACATGCTATTAAGTCGCTGTTATCTGAAACACACACATAAGCATAGTGTTAGCCTAATTGCACAATTGCCCACATCCTTTTTAACTTTCTGGGGGAGGGGCGATTTAGTTTATGTCGCTGTATATTCTCAGTCATCCACGTCATTATAACAAATGTCATGGAGGCTATGTTGGCCATTCTGCGGGCTGTGGGCCCGGTCAGCCCCACCTTTTGCACGCCACTTCTTGCAAAATGACTCAAAACATCTAATATCAATCAATAAATCTCGGGATTTACCCTTTTTGGCTGCTATTTATACGCGGTACATTTTGCTGGACACCCACGCCTGCTGCAAAAGTTTAGCGCAGTGACTCAGAAATCAGTATTACGGACACACACTTGGAAAGGACAAAATATTTCCACAGCAGTGACGAACGATGGGTTCACATCTCGAGAGTCTTACTTCCTTTTATTTAAAAAAAAGAAATACTAGGTAAACAGGACTATGTGATTACCTCATGTGTCAACAACACACATATGCCAATTCCTGCCAGTAAAAAATAAATATCTGAGTGACGCTGAGTTACTGAGGACGTTTCATGCGAATTGAAGATCAACTCCAGATAATTGTGTTGCAATTGCAACAGACCACTTTTTACATTAGTAATCATTGAGCAAAGCTTTCCATGAAGTATGAAATTTTTTGTTGAGTCAGCACAGAAGACGTGCTCACTGATGCACCTACTGTAAACCTTACCAGACTGTTTAGTCATTCCAGATCAGTAATCTATTTTTTTTTTAACCAAGAGCTTCTTCCAATTCCTTGTTTTCAAGGAAATCCAACAAAGGGGAAACGCAGGGTTTGACAAAGGTAAAACCAAGGGTGCTTTAACTTTACATTTTTTGGACAATTAAAGTGAGTCATTGCCATTCAGTTTGTCACACTGAGCTATTTTAGAGCTTCATTATTGTAATTCGGTGCATTGGGTATTCTGACTTTGACAAAGAAAATGGCGCTCTGGAAAACTACACTCGCAAATACTGTTGGCATAAGACCTCGAACGGCGTCAATCAAAACTTTTTCTTGTTAAGCTGATGAATATTTTGGATAAGTATCTTGCAAGAAACCGATGGTGTACCTATTGAAGCCACCAAATCAAGCTTTTTCTACATGTGTCATATTGTTAGCATATAATGTTGTGTTTGGACAAGCAACTTACTGAGGTCTAAGACATCATCAGTCTTAATAAGGTCTTCAGGTCTGGTCAGCGGCAGCTGAGTCTCCGGTTCTCCTTGAAGCTGCAGCGATAGTGACCGCAGCATGAAAAACACACGTATGGCCTGAAGGCGGGGTGGGACGATCCACAAAAACACAAAGGAAAGAGTTAGCATGACATGCATTCTTATTTCAGAGACACACACAAAGAGATTTTATGCGACTCGACAATACCCTCCGCGTCTTCTCCACATCCCCACAAGGGAGCCTCTTAACAAAGTCGATGCCAGTCAGAGGTGTGCCGGTGGGTGGCAGGAGTATGGAGGCATCCATCATGAGATACTCCACGTTAAGCGGTTTACTCTGAAACGATCAAGCGCCATCAACCGGGCGCGCTTTAAGAACAGCAAAAATGCAGCTCTCAAACAGCAGGCTGTTTGTTTTGGAAGAAAAGAAAAGAAAAGAAAAGAAAAGAAAAGAAAGTCTAACACACCGTCATACTCCTGTATTCATCTTCAAACATGTCCAGAAAGATCTCCTCGCCCTGCAATTCAAAGGGTCATAAATACTTGAAAAACCGGGCATTAAAATACATCATTCTTCTCCACATGGCAATGAAAGCATTGCCTGGGGCGGAGTCCTGCCCTTCGCAAAAATTCTTTTTCTTCATCCACAACGGCTATTTGGAGATGATTCATATGAGGGTGTTTGTTCAAGATGGATTTACAGCTCATAATTCATGCCTGGGTGTCTCCAACTTGGTGGTAGAAATTGCAGAGTAAGAAAGAGAGAATACTTATCACACAAAATTGCTGCACATTTTTCAATTGTATAGCTGCTCATGAGCAATAATTTTTAAAATCAATTAATCTACCAGTTATTCTTTTGATGAATTGATGAATCGGATGAAAAAAAAGTAATCACTATATGTGTTGTTATGTGTATGATTAAAGGGAAGGTCAAGTCACAAATATCTTGAAAACAATATGTTCTAAGCAGGCCCACTTGTCTAAACACAGCATTCTGATTAACAATGTGTTCATGGAATCTGAATTAAGCAGCTAAATCCATCTGTTTTTGTCCATTTCAGGGGAGGGTTGTTTTGCTATTGACTGGAAATGACATCACGGTGCCTCAGGGCTCAAGCTTGCGAACGTGACATAAGCAAACACAGAAAACAGGGGAGCCGGTTTTGAAGACAGAAAGCATTTCAGATGATCTTCTAATTCCCTAAATACAGTCTGGATGTGTGAGAGGCAAAAAAAAAAAAAAAGTTAAAAGAAAATGAAACTGACTGCCTGCTAGATTTTTGTGTCATATAATAATACAACAGTGGTGACTGAGACCAAAACAGAAAGCAATCAGGGCAGAGAAAGTAAAAGTCAATCAGTGTATAAACTCAAACCAATAACATTTACTGCCCTGCGATAAGCTGCTAACATCAGGGGGTGCTGGGAGGGAAATGTGCAATCAGTTACGTATAATAAGATTTTATGTATTCCTTTGATTGTAAAATGAGCAATGTCAACAGTATAGTTCAATGCACAGCAATCAGAGTGCATCAGTCGATGGTGTTTCGGTGTGTTTGAGGTTGCATAGTTACCTTGTAAAATCGCCGCAGCAAGTGCAAGCTTTCCTCTCTCGCCCCCTGTGTACGTGATACACAGGACATGTCAATCATGCTAAAAACATGCTTACCGGTACAGCGCATATCATATTGCTAGCATAATTGAGCGGGTATAAAAATACATTCAACTTCAAATGTACAAATATTAAAAATAAAGATGAATAGAATACAAGAAGTGTCCACTGTTATCCCTGGAAATCAGCAGATTCATCAATCAGATTTATTTGTGTGCGTGTGTGTGTGCTGCTATACTTTTCACGGGATGACAGATGCAACACGTTTGACCACAATTGGATTTTTTTTTTTTTTTTTTTTTGCATTTACACACATCCGATATCACACGTTTCACAAAACAGTCTTCGGAGGCTTCAAACATGAACTGTTGTGCAATCATCGAGTTTCATTCACATTGCCGAAAGCCTGAAGAGTAATTTCACATTAAAATCAATAAGGGCAAAGTACTTCAGACAGGAATTGATTCTGATGACGAGGTACAAGTCATTAGTCGACTGAACAACATTAACTTAAGTAGTCACTCTACCCCTTTTGAAAACTCCACACTTTGCTCAGTGTTGAAGACCCACCCTTTCGCGTACGGAGAGATTATTTTCAAAATCAATCGGAAATCACAGGAAATGAGTGTTGCATAAATGCGCTGACATTTTGAAATGTTACAGCAGAGTTAACTCTGTGAAAAATCCCGCTTTCAAGATGTCTCACAGATCTCCATCTTTATGCATCGGCAGGGCCAATTTATCTTTGCACTAGAAAAGCATGTCATGATGCATTTAACGCAGTGGTCAAAGCCAGCAAGGCCTAAATGCTACGAGAAGCGCTGACCTACATTTACAACTTCATTGAAATTGTCCAGTATTTCCAGCAGTCTATTATCTACATTTCATATAATGCGTCTTGGCTGCCACGCTTTCAGTACTACAGTGTGTATGTTTTGGTCATGTCGTTAGATAAATACTGATTGTAAAGTACTTCAAATTATATTGGAGAGTAGAGTCTCTCTCTCTCTCTCTCTGTCTGTCTGTCTCTCTCTCTCTCTCTCTCTCTCAAACTAAGCGGCAGTATGGTAATAGTGGCGGTAGTAAAACGTGGATTAATGATTTCTGACCGTTAGAGATTTAACGACATTCTTGATGACAGTCTACTGTCTATTGTTTGTGTCGTTTAATCATCAGACTATTAAATTAGATTTAATGAACCACTGATGAAAAACAATACAGATGGCACAAGCAGGAACACACCTGCATTTTTTTTTTAAGCGGCAGTATGGAAAATAAGAAGGGCGGGGGCGTGGGGGTAATTTCAAAACAGATGATGAAGAATTTGTAAGTGCTGAGAATGGCAGGTGAAGTGGGAGGTTGATATTTGAAGAGGACTGAAACGGTGATATAACAATAAACACAACTAAATACCGTATTAGTGACACATCTTTTGTTATTTTAGTCCAGAATCTCTGATGTGCATTTATATATTACACCGAGACAGGAACATCTCGTGTGTCATACCTCCAGGCAGGCCAGATGAACATCTTTGATGATGCACGGACTTCCAGACAACACGGACTGCTTTAACAAAAGGCAGCTGAGCTCCAGAGTCGCTAGACGAACTCGACCATCTAAGCACAGACGCAGCACATAAATGAACCGCGAGCCCGCGTTCAGAAAAAAAACGTCACATATGCAAGAATGGCAACGTGTACGTTACCTGGTTGTGCTGCCTGGCTCATGACTCTGATCAACCTCTCGGCAAGTACCAAACTGTACGAGCTTCTTTCCTGGTCAGGGACTGGCAACTGCAGTCGCTCCAGAAGGTCACTGTTTATACCTAAGGAAATATTCGGGGGCGGTAAGTAAGACAGGACAGAATTGGATGAGGTAAAGATGAGGACTGGGAAATACAGTCGATAAATAAAACCTTTGCTGTGTGAAACTGCATAGAGCAGGCAGAGGACAAACAGGGCATGGTAGTCGTCATTGGTGCAGTCCAGGGCACTGTACACCATTTCTAAGAAAGGCCTGCAGAATGAGACGGGAGTACATTCGATACTCGTGCACTTGCGGATCGCATCTGGCAAACGCACGTGTGAAAAGGTACCTGCTTCTCTGCGTGTGTGTGCGCGTTGCCGCCGCAGTCTTCTCTTCATCCGTGATGTTCTGCTCGGTCAACTCAGACACCTTACAAGTCTCCATCACCACCATCTCTATTTCTGGGAGTACAAACACACACACTTTGTTGATGGCTTCATCGTATGCGTGATGACGTTTAAGTTGGCATGAAATCAAAAGGTCAAAAAACAGTCTGAAGGAATTTCCCTCTTCACTTGACTGAAAATCACATCATTTACTATCTTAACATTGGCAAAATAATCTCTGGACCTCCAGATGAATATACAGTAAATTTGATTTGAAACCGCAAAGAAGGATTTTGTCAGTTGGCGGTCAAGTGAAGAAGGACTCAACTTGGATGAACAATGAAACCTCTTTCTTTTTTGCGGCAACCATCGGTTTAATTGACGCGTCTTAAGGGAACAGCAAGGTGACAAGGGAAGAATGTGCACTATTAAAGTTTGGATTGTGTGTTTTATTGTTTGTAGGTGATACTGTAAAAACTCACGATATCGTAGCTCAGGTTTCACAGTACCGATATTTCAGTGTTTGGTGATTGATTCATAACCAGGTAAGATCACAGAACGGCTTATTATCCACTGAAAAATTTGTTTCCGGTGTCCCGCAATGTTGCAGTGGATCATCCTTGAACTTCAGAGGTTCCATTGTTTAGGAATTTGACCGAAAACAAACACATGAACACAGAGCGAGAGTAAGACGGGCGGACAGGTGAGGAGCACAGGATGGATGATATGTCATGGCGGAAATGGACAGCTGACTTCCAATGAGAAGGAGTTGATATGTGATCGGTGGCCACCATGGGGAAATTACAATGTGCCGAAGAGGGAAGGCAGGAAGGCTTCATCTCAAAACTAGGCAAAGAGAATTTATCCATGCCATGTATTTTTGGTCTGTAGATTCTCAAGTCTTTTGTCCTTATATGGACTTGCACTGCTGGTCACCTTTCGCTGAATTAAAAGGCCAGGGAGCAAAATATGTTTCAGCAGCAGCGGACAAAGTGGATATTGGAGCTTGTTTCTCTTTTTCGTTTGGAGACGAGGACTGCCGCAGAGGTTGCTTTCAGGTAGAAGGGGTACACCATGGCAGACTAATGGGGTTGAACAAACGCAAACAATCCTGCACTCACCTTCCGCCGTCTCCCCACTCGCTCTGCTCCCCTTAGTACTCCCACCTGTTCCTAAAATCTCGGTACCTTTTCCCTTTTCCCTCTCTCGGCCTCCCTCGCCTCCTCGGCCGCTATCGTCCCAGCCCTCATCTGCCCCTTCCCGGCTGCTGCTGCTCCCTCCTCCTCCTCCTCCTCCTCCTCCTCCTCCCCTGGTGTGTGTGTCTTCATCCTCCTCGCCAAGGTTCTTGTAGTTTGGCCTCTTCTGGGTTCTCTTGCGGCCACGGTGGCGGGAGAGCTCCAGCAAGCGCTCCAAAGATTCCGGTGGCTTGGTAAAGCGACGCACCCCTCCGGAACTAGCCTGAAATCCATACATGGGTATCGGTATGTTATGCCAAATACACAGACAGACAAACAATGATTGTGAGCTCATGTCAATCTTAAATGAGGTATTCCTTATGATAAAGTAAGTGTAAGTTTTAAGAGTGAGTGCGGTAAGCACTTTCCAACCCGAGAGGAAGAACTCTTTCCGAAAAGCAATATGCAATAACGACCTTTGCTGGAAAGCGGTTACCAAGATAACAGCGAAAGAAGACCACACACACCACCACACTTACTCACCGACACACACTGTCTCTTACAGTAAATTGGTACTGATGTGTCAGGTTGATCCAAGTCAGTTTACGCTTTCACGGTACATCACTGAAGCAGAGACACACATTCGCATACCAGACCCAACCACAGATGCACACTCGCAGAGGAAACAGCTGGTGTGTCAGATAAGAAATTGGCCAAGGGGATAAAAACTGGGTCTTACAGTAAAACTGAGTAATGATGGCAATAACCTCAAAGATGATAAAAAACATACTCATAAATGAGAAAAGTGACACACTCATCAGTGAAGGATGCACTGACCATTACGACCGCAAAATGAAGTGAAGCCAGGTATTTTCCGAAATAGATAGATAGATAAATAAATTAATAAAACAAGGACCAACAAAGATGTCCATCACTTGAGCCGAATAAGAATACAGATAAGGAGTCTATCAGATTTCACCCACTAAATCCTGAGAGAGTTTTTCTCCTCATTTTGTCTCTCTTTTAAGAGTGCCTTTGTGGTACAAAACAAAACAAGTACCGGTAGCTCAAACTGAAACTTGGCTTCTTTACTTCACGTGTACAAACCACCACCCACCCACACCCACACGTGTGTGTGTGTGTGTGTGTGTGTGTGTGTGTGTGTGTGTGTGTGTGTGTTGACACCTCTCATGAGAATGCATATCAAGAACAGGCATGGTTAGAGTTCCTCCGCGTACTCACGACCTGGAAAGGAGTCGTTTCCCGAATGCTTTCAAACAAAAGCGTTTTTCAAAAACAAACAAACAAAAAAAAAACCCAAAACAGTATATTATTCAGGTGCTGCATATTATAAGGTGATGTACGTTGCAGCTCGTCTACAATCGAATATCAAATGGGATATTTTTTTTTTTTACTTTGAAAAAAAAAAAGTCAAACAGCAAAATGTGTTTGACCAGATTTGTGCAGAATTACAAGATTTTATGAACCCTGTCTTGACCCTCTCTCTCTCCCATCATTGTCCATGTGTTAAGAGGTGACACAACCTGAGTTGGTTGTGAAAAGATTGGAGACTCGCGATCGCACTTTCATTGTTAGCATGAAAGGGGGTGAGGGGGCATCGCGTGTATTTTTGTTGGAAGCAATTTTATGCAGCGTGCACAGAAACCACAGGCAAATATCTTTGAGGGGGGGCGAGTGTGCAACACCTCTTAGATGACTATGTTCTGGTAAACCGCTCACGCGCTCGAGACGCTGCTGAGAAATTAATGGAGGCCAAGGTACATTAAAGCTACACCGACCCACACTCAAATCACTTTCTGGTCCCCACATGGCACAAATACAGAATGAGTAAACACTGGGTGACAAAAAAAGGTTCCTCCTTCTGTGACATAACATAACACAAAAGCACCGCAAGATGAACTAAACGGGTAACCCTGCAAAAAAGCATTTTATCCCCGCCCCCGAAGGTTCGACATATTTTTGAAGAACTTGAAAATCTATTTAACATTCAGGTAAGTTTTGAAACTGAAGCATGCCAAATAAGACATGCTCCTCGTATTGAAAAAAAATTGGCAGACATGTCTGGGTGCAGAAGCTCTTTCTTGTGGTTGTCTCAACCAACATAATTTATACGAGGTCACACCACTGCTGGCATTCAGTGAAAAGGTAGGCTGCTTCTGAAAAACACGAAGCTAGAGCAGAGAACAACCGCAAACGTTCTCAGAAATGCTCACTCTACTTTGCTGACACCCACCCAACAACAAAGGCAGATGGTCAAAACCAAAGAAAATGGGGGTGGGGGGGGAATCTAAATTTGAAAAGGGAGAGAGGAGAGAAATTAGATGGGGAAAGTAAGCGGGTGGTATAGAAAATGGAAAAGAAAGAGGACTTGCAGTATCTGATAAAAGTGAATACACCCTTGACATTTTTGTAACGTTCCCCCCTGACCTTTTGAAGGGAAAGCACTGAAAAAAATTATTTTTCTACAATGTCAAGCAGTCAGTGTATGGTACAGTAGAGCTGCTACGATTACTCGACTAGTCACGATGACGTTGATGACTGCGTAACGTATGTTGGTGGTTATTACATCTTTCATTTCAGTTTTCACTGGCATTTGTGTCCAATAATTGATCCGTGGTAGACGGTCGGCATTCTGACCATTGGAGTACCAAGGTGTTGGGCCTTGGTGGTGGTCTTACTCCTGGAACTGTTCTGACCTTCTTGCTATTCGAGTATTTACCACGTGGGACTGTGTGTCTTGCATACCTAAAACGGCACATGACTTACTGTATTTTTTTGTGCATTGTGAAGGCCTGTCTGTGGGATGAAGACAGACAGGTCTCCGTTGAAAATGACATCGGCCAGGGCGTTGACGAGGGGTTGATAGTGGATGATCAGAAATACCTGCAAAACACAGAGGTAACTCATCAACACATTATATGAGTGGAAGCAAGAAGAAAACTTTTCACCACCATCACCCTCATCATTGTGTGCCTGTTTGTATTGTATAAGTACTTTTGTCACTTCACTCATTCACTCCCAAAGACGTATTTAGATATCTTTTCAGACGAATGAGGAGCTGGGATTAAATGTGTGGTGTCTGAAAAGACATCTAAATACGTCTTTGGGAGTGAATGAGTTAATTAAGCAGCAATCGCAAAATATCAGGTACTGGGGGCCAGTCTGGAGTTCTTCAAAAGGCATTATGACAGTAACAACAGAGGATCTGGAGAAGATCAGATAAGAACTGCAGAGGAGTGCGCTGACAAGACACAATGATTAACTTTTGAATACGAGACAAAACTGAGAATATACCGTGGGATGCATTCATCTCATCGTCAACCATAGCATTTTAAGTTCAGTGTTGTGTATGCGTTGCCTACTTGTGACAGCAAGTAGAGGGACACCTGAGGGTTGATCTTTCGCTCTTCATGCTAAAAAAAACAACAACATTCAATAAAGGTCACTTGACGTCACAGAAGCTGATTTCTCCCGATGTATCCGGCAATTCTGAGCCCGCTTACCGTTTCTTGGCTGACCAATGAGAACACATAAAGAGGTAAGAACAAGCGGTTGAGGAGGTGGTCAGTCAAAACATCATTGAGGAATTCGCAGTTAATGATGAGGATGTCGTTCAGGTAGTGGAGGTGGTCAAGGTGCTCAGCTACCAGGTCACTTAACTTGCCTCGATTTTTGTGCCTGAGACATAACAGAGATTTTGGCGTATTGACTTTCAAGACAGATCTCACAAAATAACTTCCGTTTCAAATGTCTTTTTGATTGTCATTTTATGTTCACGTTAATACAAAAAAAATAAATACAATTAAAGCAGCATAAGCAGTTGAACTGCATCATACTATTACGTCAACACATTACAAATACTGTAATTGAAGTCCCTCTGCGTGGTTACAAACAAAGGACAAACCTGACTCCTAGAGGCCAGAAATAACAACACAGAGCTCTCTAAATACCAAGAGTTGTTGAATAAGGACGCTGTGAGCACTTACTCTTCATCTGTCTGCACACATTTGTCCAGTTCAATGACATGGCTGCCGATAAACCAGACTAAGTTGCTGAAATATGGCACCGCTGTCTTATCTCGGATGTAGTGCAGCATGTGCTGGTTGTCCACTAAAGAGTCACAAGGATTAGGGAGACCACTTGTTATTGCACACTTCTAATATATGCACACACTTTCAAATTTACACCCACACGCACATTTTGTAACTGCAGAAAGTAAAACAAAGTTGATAGTGGCATGAAAATATACTGAGCAAAAAAAAAAAAAAAAAGCACCTCCTCTCACAAAAAATCTCTCTCTCTCATGTCTTAACACAGCACTGACTTTGATTTAATAATTCAATGAGCCAAAGCACAGGAAAATGTCAAAATTAGCCACAGTACAAATGAGGTAATTTTGTTATTCCGGAAAAAAAAATAATCACATCAAATCAATCACAAATACACTCAAACAGATACAACTGGGATGGGTATCAATAAAGCATACGTGTGAGGTCTGAGTTGAGATCTGTTTTTATAGAAATGTCAGGCATCCGATTGAGTCGCACGGAAAACTTTCAGAACATGGACTCCCCAGCTTTTTTGAGGTAGCTGCGTTTGTCAGTATGTGGCCTGGATAAGCTCGACAAAAATCCCATGAAAAGGCAGCTTCAGTAATACCCAGCCCAAGAATAAGACTGAATGAATGGAACCAACTTACATGAAACTGGAGTTAGGCAGATGGGGCGCGCAGAGGGTAGGGGGGGGGGGGAGAAGAGACAAGGAGTCGGCAGAGGAGGTGTGGTTGTTGAGAAGGAAGGGGCGAGGGGAGACAAACAAACACAGTGTTAAGGTGAATAGTGTGGCGGCTGTGAAGGCGTTGAGGATGGGAGGGACCACTAAATTAGTTGTTTTACATCAAAACTGCAAACAATATATCCCAACCGCAAAAAAAAAGCACTTATTGTTCCACATTTCAATAATTCTTTTCAATCCTAAAAACGGTGCATATAGAGAAAGGACGTGTTGCGGTCCTTTCTCTAAAAGCGCAAAAGTGCATAAAATTCATTTTGAAAAGTTAACTCTGATGAGAAAATTTTGTAAAAATGTGTTGACCGGTCTAATGAGGATGTATGCATGCAGGTTGTTGAACTTCACCTTTGTACACGTTGAGGGTGATGGTGCGGACTGCGATGCGGACCATGCTTTCCGGGTGGTTGAAGAATTTTATGGCCTCGGTGTACAGGGCGAAGTCATTTGTGTGCTGTATGTGGGAGACATAGAGAGGGGGCAACAGTGAGCAAGGTACCGCTTGCTCCACAAGGCAACACAAAGCGAGAGACAGTGGACACAATAAATTTTGAAGGGGGGAAAAAACAATTTATGGTACTATCGTAGTTGTTGAGCAGTGGTTAAGAAAGGACAAAATAAAGCAATATTTCCTAAAATCAGGTTAATTTATAGAAAATAAGGTATTGGAGAACATTAGGAATAGCCAAACAGATGTTTCCTTGCCCTGTTAACCAGGTAAATTTCGTTTTTTTTTAAATTAATTTTACACAGAGGACCACACAGCAAAAAAAAAAGTGTTATGTGCATTAAAAGGAAACAGAACTAGAAGATGTGTGAGCTGAACAGAAAAATTCAACCCTGATGATCACAGCCAAACCGGTTTAGATTCAAATTACAAGACAACGGTGGTAAAGGTAAATGTTAGCATGAGTGAGTATGTCAACATGTGAAAGTAGCCAGACAAAACACAAATAAGACTTGACCCTGATGTCACTTGAGACAGTACAAGTGTCCTTAAATGTTCACTTTCGGTACAGTTGATGTTGACAACACACGAATAATTTTCCTGCGTCAGCATAGGCTGGTCATTTTTTTTTGAATACCCCCGGAAAATTAACTTTCAAGCCGCGGAAACAACATTTGCTCTTCACAGAATCTGGATTGTTCTTGGCGGAATCAACACTTTTTCTCTGCAGATTCCTGGTTGGGGGGACTAAACAATGAAACCAGTTTATGCCACTTTGTCGATTGGCAATGGCTAAACTGCAAGACATGTAGCCTCACCTCATTGTAGAAGAAGTGCACCGTGTGATTGTTGAGTTTGAGCGACAGTGTCTTGAGGAAGGAGATATAGTAGGCCATGATCTCCTCATCTGAAAAGTCAAACTTGTGAACGATGATGGAGTTCACGTGGTTGTTGGATAGTAAGTAATCTGCACAGAAGAGAGGAGAATTGACATTTTCAACACCAATTTTGTGGATGTGCTATTTTATATTTTGTGCTATTAGAAAGTAACTGTATTTCGGTACTTTGGCCTGAGATGTAAACACTTACACAGAGATGTTTCATGTCTGATGTTCTCAAAGAGTATGTTAAGAGTCTGGAGAAGCTGAACACACACATAGCGTCCAGATTTCTGCCGCAGGATGTTCAGGAAGAAGGCAAACATGTTCTTTTCTAGGAAGAAGCTAAAATTCCAAGTAGATTATCATTTAATTAATGCTAGGGAACACATCTGCTGTCAACGACCACAAAAATCAAAGTTATTGTAAATTCAGTGCTCATACAGCGGTTGCGTGTCATTAATGTTGGGATGATGAATGTGGCTTACTCAAATACAGAGCTGTCATTCTGGTCCCCCCAGATGAGGATCTCTGTGATGGAACGTATCGTCTCCACCAGGAGGTTGCGGTTGTGGTCTGTCACTGTAGTGTTTTTGGTCAAGACGTGGTACATGTACCTTAGGGTAACATAATATACATTCAGTATGAGTGAAAACAGAGTAGAGTCTGATCTTGATAAAGCAAAAAGACAACAGTGGTACTTTTAATTGGTAAACCTGGACTTTGGTCACAAGGTGTCAAGGTTCACTTCCAACACCATTTAAATGGACACTATTCGTCTAAGCGGCAAGGAGAATTTGTTTAACTAAAGACAGCTTCGGTATAAACGTGCACAGCATCCCCCTCAAAAATATTTAGATTACAAATGCAGTCAGATTAGGAAATACTGACGCTAGTAACTAAAGAGCTATTTCTGTACTGTATTACAATTCACGTAAAGGCTAACGTTAGCATTTAGGTGTTCATGCAAGCTACTCACTTTAAATGATCCAGGGAATGGATATTTTTCGATTTCCCCTGTCCCCCAACCCAGCTCCGTGACCTGCCAAACATGGCTGCGGTTGTAAAGAGATTGATAATTTGACAGGCGTCTTATTTCGCTGATGTTAGCGGCTGCATCTGTCCATAACACCCACTTTTGGTGGAGCTAGCCACTTCGCAAACAGTCGTTGATAGGTTGACACGGGAGGAGCGAGTACTCGTTACGTAATCGTGGTCGACGATGGGACGTTTGGGAAATGTAGTTTTTTTTCCCGTTTTAAAAAAACTCGTAATGTACTACAGGAGACCAAACCAGAAAGCGAAATTTGAACTCATTTCTTTATCTGCTATATTTTCTGGCCTCGATCCAATAATCCGACTGACGAATCGTGGAGGAATTGAAAAATAAAAAAAAAAGTTAATTCCTCGATGTCGTCATTTCATGAAGACGTCGACTAAAGATGACGTTAGATCAATGACGTGTGTCACTTTATGCAGTCCGCAATGTTTTGATGCAGTTGGTAACTGTTGGTATAAGACGTGTGGGCGTTAAAACGGAGTCGTGTGTTTGTGGGTAGTGCTTGTTTTCGTAGGTACGAATCTACATATAGAAATATTACATGTATTCTGTTTGGGTTTCTGTCTTTGCTAACGTTGCGCGAGACTGTTTTTAGCTACGCACGGCCACTTGGCATGGCTTGAATTCCGCAAAGCCAGACTCCCAATGTCAAGAATCTTACCAGTGATCTACTGTGATATTTTGATACTGCTAGTGCACTATTATTAGGCATGCACGCGAGACTCTTTTGTGCGCACGTTTTATTACCTTTTTCCTTCGTCAGTGTACAGCTATTATAGTGCACAACACTTTTTCGAGTCGGAACTGGCGAAAAGTGCGTCCGAAGCTCACCGGACATGCAGACTTCTAGCGATGTCAGCTTCTCACCTTGTTTAACCATGACACTCAAACACTGGATCGCCTAAACCGTGATTTTCTTCTCTATGATCCACACAATTTATGCCCAGTTGGATTCAGTAGAATCGCTTTTGGACGAGCACCCCTATATGTTTTATCTGGGCCTATTCTTTGTGAACGTCCTCATCCTCTACTACGCCTTTCTGATGGAGTACATCGTCCTGAATGTGGGGATAGTATTTATGCCTGAGGATATGGACCGGGCTCTGGTGGACCTCGGGGTTCTTTCTGATCCGGCATCCCTGCCCTACGACTCGGACACAGACTTGGATGTGTTTGAAGGGTATCTGGAGTGACATGGATTGGATTATGATGCTGGTGAAGATGATGGAGAGGTCAGGGACAAATGAGGCCTGTTTCCCGGACGTCTGTTCTTTTTGGATAGAGAGGAATAAGGTCAGCAGTTTTGGAATGTTCACTGGTAATTACTTTTTCCTCCTTTTTTTTTTTTTAACCTTTATGATTGATGTGATTACAGGTCATCTCAGCGTGAAGATGACCATCACCAAAGGCAACTTTTCAACCATCATCTCTTGGAGAGACTCATTCTTTGACTTCGCCGCCACCTGGACGTCCACACAAGCATTTGTGTCCTTCTCTTGGCACATATTGACAGAAAAAAAGGCTGTATTTTGTGCTGCATGCGAGACGACATTGCGACTGTGGATTCAGAGTACAATATCGATCCAGACAGAAGAAGCTCGGTGCAAATCATATGCAATCAGATCAGTCGATTGCACCAAAAGACGCAAGTCATCTTGACTTGGGAGCGTTTGTAGTCTCCAAATTGTTCCCTTCTCATTTGCCAACAATTGAATTTGATTGAAAGAGAATGTATTCTTGCATTGCAGGCACTCCACCCCGAATTTGAGATGTGCATTAAACACGATGTGCGTTCTGCTTCTCAATCAAACTGGTGCCTTGTGGGTAGCGCATCTCAAGCATGACACAGGACAAGACAGTATTAGTTGGCTGGGCAGCTGTTTTTGGGTTTGCTCTGACAAAAAGCTTTACATTTTCTCTTCAGTGTATCTATCCATCATAAATAATTGATACAACTGTGCTTCCCGTTGGCTTAGATCACTGTCAAAACTAAATACTAATAATGAATTGGTGAGAACGTTGAAAGGAATCTTAAAGCAGCTACTTCATATTGAACTCACAATTTTACCTTGTAAATATATTTTATTTTCCATATGTAAGACACTTGAAACAGATTTGCAATGCTGGTTGAATGTTACTTCATTTTATCTCTATCTTGGGATTTATCGCAATCTTTTTTTTTGTTTCATCCTGTTCTGGATTGAGAATTTTCTTTTAAAAAAAAAAGTGTTAAGTGGCGAACAATCCGGCGTGTCGTCTGCTTTTTGCTCAATGCCACCGAGGATAGACTCTTGCTCCCAGCTGAACAGGAAAAGCTCTTTTGAAAATGGATGGATGCATAATGAGTGGTTTTGAAAACTCAGTCAGGCGCAGTTTGTATTTGTGTATGAACGGAATAAAACCACCTGATAAACAGACATTCAAAAGAATTTTTGCACCCTTTCATTCATGTTCATGTCTTGTTTTTGAGCAGATTAAAACGAAACATTTCATCTGCAGTGGCACGGTGATCGACTGGTTAGCACGCCTGCCTCACAGTGCAGACGTGCAGGGTTTGATTCCAGCGCCCCGCCTTGCTATTATGTAGTTTGCATGTTCTCCCCATGCCTGCGTGGGTTGTCTCCGGGTACTCCGGTTTCCTCCTCTTTTGAAAACGGATGGATGCATAATGAGTGGTTTTGAAAACTCAGTCAGGCGCAGTTTGTATTTGTGTGTGAACGGAATAAAACCACCTTATAAACAGACATTCAACAGAATTTTTGCACCCTTTCATTCATGTTCATGTTTGTTTTTGAGCAGATTAAAACGAAACATTTCATCTGCAGTGGCACGGTGGGGGACTGGTTAGCACGCCTGCCTCACAGTGCAGACGTGCAGGGTTTGATTCCAGCGCCCCGCCTTGCTATTATGTAGTTTGCATGTTCTCCCCATGCCTGCGTGGGTTGTCTCCGGGTACTCCGGTTTCCTCCTACATACCAAAAACATGCAGGGCAGCTTAATGGCACACTCAACTCCGGGTACTCCGGTTTCCTACCACATGCCAAAAACATGCAGGGCAGCTTAACGGCACACTCAAAATTGTCCCTCGGCGTGATTGTGAGCATGAATGGTTGTTTATGTGTGCCCTGCGATTGGCTGGCAACCGGTTCAGTGTTCCCCACCTACTCCCCGAAGTCGGCTGGGATAGGCTCCAGCATGCCCCTGCCACCCTTCTGAGAAGAAGCGAATCCGAAACTGGATGGATGGATGGACTCTACTGCCAAGGGGAGGCAACCCTTGACTATGCATAGACTTGTAGAGCATGTTTTGGGTGCAGCCAGTACTCTAACTCGACTGCGATTTCTTTGAAACCACGTGCTTTATGCGTGTCATGCACATAGTGTCCACAAGGGGGCACGTGCTTTATGCTGTCATGCACATAGTGTCCACAAGGGGGTGTGAGTGCAAAAGACAACAATTGGGACAAAAGAGTAGGTTTTTTTTCCCCACCCACCGACTCAGGGACCCCAGGGACCTCACAGTCGGTGGTGATTCTCGAATTTATTACTGTGAATAAGCACATTATTTATAGATGTAGCTTAGCTGTAGCGGTATCTACAGAAGTGTTATTTAGATGTGTTGACATGATTGTATAAATTGGAACAGCCCTTACCTAATTAAATTGATCGAACAAAAAAAAAAAAACATTTGGAAAATATGTCACACTTTAAATGTGAATTTAACTTGCGTAGTGGCTCTGGAGGTTTGATTGATAGTTAGCAGTGACATGTACGCGTTTGTATTTCAGGAGAAAAAGCAAGCGAGCCAATCGTTGTTGAAATGTTGACTAGCAACGCACACGTGGGCGGGTCACTTCTACGGATTTCACGCCTGGAATATATCAAATAATAATTGGGGGAAAAAATATTCCCAATCTAAACCACCAGTGAAACAGTTGCAACTGTGAACGCTGCGTTCAGACAAACTCCCAAGCCGCCGGCACGAGTCGGCGGCAGTCGGTCTGTCAAGCAGCGTAGTAAGTTCAATCAATGTGATCTTTGACCTCCGAGAGGTGTGGTTGTATTAAGTGGTGCAATAAACCGGGCACCAATTACACAGGCCACACTGTACTATGACTACTTTAAAGTTATAAATTGCAACAAGAGATACTGTATGTTAAACACTTACCTATTAACATTTCCATAATTTTTTTTTTTTGACAGATGTGACTAAGCCAAGCATGATCAGGAAGTCATTGCTTGAATAAACTCATAAAGTGACGTGAATGTTAACAATATGAATACATACCAAAAAAGAACTGAGCAAACACCCAAAGCGTGTTCTACAAAGGACGTCAAAAAGAGAGTCATATAAAGTACACAATTTTTTTGACTTCGCTCATCAGCGAGTCATATTTCTCCAGTCTGAAACAACAGTGAAAATGCGCCAGGCATTATCACTTATGGAGAACATAATATAAAGACAGCAAGGGGCCAATTGAATTTAAGCACTCGGTGGGATATTGGAACTACAACCATAGACAAATACCTTTCCCTTCTCGTTATGCTGTTATACAGTATATGGACAGCACATACAGTACCTATGATGAAGTGTACCAGAAATTGGTGTGTGCATGGGGGGTGCGCTACTAATGCCAAAGGATTCTGGGATCCTGATGCTGGAGTCTCTCAAATATGCCATACGGAATAGACTGGTTCCACATCCTGGATTGGGAGAAAAGAAACAGCGACATGACGAAAACTGCATCCAATTTATTTTTATGTTAGGTTGCTGCACTGAAAGATGGGG